GCAACAGCAGCAACAACAGCAACAGCAAGAAGAAAAGCAACAGCAAGAGCTTCACGAGCAGCAGCAGCAGCAGCAGCAACAGCAGGAAGATAAGCAACAGCACGAGCACCACGACCAGCCACACCAGCAGCACCAGCAACAGCAGCAGCAGCAGCAGCAGCAGCAGCAGCAGCAGCAGCAGCAAGAGGAGCTCGAGGAAACTCGGCTTCTTCGGGTGTATGGGGAGCTCTCGCCAGATATATTTTGTCAGTTTTTGCGGCTGCGTAGAGAACTGCGGCTGCATGATAAACACTTTCATAGAAAAGCTGAACTCGTAAACCCTAAACCCTAAACCCTCATAAACCCTCATAAACCCTCATAAACCCTCATAAACCCTCATAAACCCTCATAAACCCTAATAAACCCTAATAAACCCTAATAAACCCTAATAAACACTAATAAACAATAAGAAAGAATTGGGGTTTTATATATAATAAAGTATAAGATAAATTTAGTGATGCTCATGAAGCATCCTTGCTGTTGCTGCTGATACTGTTGCTGCTGTTGCTGCTGTTGCTGCTGCTACTGCTGCTGCTGCTGCTGCTGCTGCTGCTGCCTTTCTTCCGGTTACTACAGCACTCACCAACGCACACACTAATTTCTGCTTCTACTTGTATGCATATACAACTGCTGCTGCTGCTGCTGCTGCTGCCTCTGCTGCTGCTGCTGCTGCTGCTGCTGCTGCCTCTGCTGTTGCTGCTGCTGCTGCTGCTGCTGCTGCTGCTGCTGCAGGTGGTGGTTACAAAGTGTGATATGCTGGAGCGGCAGCCGCTGCTTGCTGCTGATTCTCTCCACCACCGCATGCAGCATTTCTTCCCGCATATACCAGTACTAGGTAAACCCTAAACCCTAAACCCTAAACCCTAGGTGTAAACCCTAAACCCTAGCTGGCCTTGCTGTAAACCCTAAACCCCTTCGGCAAACAATAAACCCTACAACCTAAACCCTAAACCCTACCCGTGTACTCTAAACCCTATCAGTATACCATAAACCCTAAACCCTAACGACAAACCCTAAACCCTAAACCCTAAACACTGTGTAAACCCTAATCCATCAACCGTATGGGTAAACCCTAAACTCCAAACCGTAAACCCTAATCTCTATGGATAAACCCTAAACCCTAAACCCTATATGTTTGTGTTCCATCGTGGGGGGAGACATCATTTTGCTGCTAAGGCTGCCGTTGCTGCTGCTGTTGTTGCTGCCGTTGCTGCTGCTGTTGCTGCTGCTGCTGTTTCTGTTTCTGCTGCAATTGGTGCTGCTGTTTTTTCTCCTGTTGCTGCTACTGCTGTTTCTGTTGCTGCTGCTGCTGGGTGTGTGCTGCAGCTGCTTCTCCCCGCTTCGGTTTGGGTTGTGCTGCAGTTGCTGCTGAATTGTACAGGCTGCTGCAGCAGCAGCGACAGCAGCAGCAGCAGCAGCAGCAGCTCGAACCCATAAGACGTTCAACTGTTAACCTAGAGGAAACAGCTCTGGCTCTAAACCCTAAACCCTAAACCCTAAACCCTAAACCCTAGATATGAATGCAGCTGATGCTGCAATCCTTTCTACAACAAACAACGACTGCACTTGCTGCTAATACCTTTCCTCTCTTTGCTGCTACTGCTGCTGCTGCTACTGCTGCTGCTGCTGCTGCTGCTGCTGCTGCTGCTGCTGCTGCTGCTCTAAAGAGAGAAAATTTGAATCCCTTGACGCCCCCAAGGCAAACCAAACCAACGACAGTCCTGTGGTGCTGCAGCAGCAGCAGCAGCAGCAGCAGCTGCTGCTGCTGCTGCTGCTGCTGCTGCTGTTGCTGTTTGCAGCCGTAGCTGCTCCTGCAGCAGCAGCAGCAACTTCTGCTGCTGCTGCTGCTGCTGCTGCACTTGTTGCTGCTCCTGCAGCTGCGCCGACGAACTTCGATCGCCGCTCTGTGTGTTTCTTTGTATTTGTTTCGCTGCACCAAATAAATAAATTTATTTTATTTTATTTTTTATTTTATTTATTTTATTTATTTTATTTATTTTATATAATTAATGTATTTATTTTATTTATATTTAATTTCAACCTTTTTTTGCAGCTTTGCTGCAGCTGCATATACACCGCATCCACAACAGGTAGAAAGGAAACTGCACTCCTGCTGCTGCTGCTGCTGCTGCTGCTGCTTCTGCTGCTGCTTGTGCTGTAGCTGCTGTTGCTCCTGCTGCAGCAGCAGCAGCTGCTGCTACTGCTGCTGGTGCTGCTGCAGTTGCTGCTGCACCTGTTGCTGTTATTTTCCTCCAAGTGCTGCAACTGCTGCTAATTTTACAGCATCTGTTGCTGTTCTTGCTGCTGCTGCTGCTGCTGCTGCTGCTGCTGCTGCAGCCACTGCTCATCTGCCCCCTGCTTCTGCTGCTGCTGCTGCAGCAACCACTCCCGCCGCCGCTGCTGCTGCTGCTGCTGCTGCTGCTGCTGCTGTTGTCTATGGTTGTCCTCTGGTGATAGCTAACTCGAAATCTGCGGTTGTTGCTAGCCTGCGGTAGTATACAGCATCGTGTGTTTGTGGTTTTTGTTTCGTTGGGTCTATATGCATAACAACAACAAAGAGAGAAGCTTCGTGCTGCTGCTGCTCCATCCTTACCATTCCTGCTGCTGCTGCTGCTGATCCTGCTGCTGCTGATCCTGATCCTGCTGCTGCTCCTGCTGCCCCTCCTCCTGCTGCTGCTGCTGCTGCTGCTGCTGGACGCACCCACAAACGGAATGCTGCAGGAATATCGTGCATCTGGCAGGCGGGGGGGAGACTGAGTCTGGCGACAGCAGCTTCAACAGCTGCTGCTGCATCTGCTGCAGCAGAAGCAGCCGAAGCAGCAGCAGCAGCAGCAGCACCAGGTAGAGCAGCAGCAGCAGCAGCAGGAGAAGAAGATACTGGACCCCCTATTAGTATTTCACTGCGGGTAACAAACACACGCGGGCTGTATGTAGCATGAAACCTCCACATACACCTGGCGACTTCTTTAAATTCAAATAAAGATGAATGCATGCTGCTGCTGCTGCTGCCGAAGGCTCCTCCTGCTGCTGCTGCAGCAGGATAAGGTAGAGTATGTGGGTGCATGAAAGGACCAGAAGCAGCAGCAGCAGCAGCAGCAGCTGCTGCAGCAGAAGGTAGCATCACTGCATCCGTCCAGTGTCTAGGGGGATCGCAGTTAGTTTTATCACCAAAGAACTCATAAATTTTTCTCGGTGTAGACTGCACAGTTGCGCCTATAATATATTGTTCTTTTTTAAAGTTTTCTACAAAGAAAGGTCTTGGTGGGGTTGTACAACACTCACAATATGAACTAAGAGGAACCGAAGAAGTTTTTATATCAACTGATCCAGCTACTCTTCTTGCTGTTGCTGCTGCTATACGTATAGGATTCCAAGAGAAACGTGGGCTATTTTCTAAGAAAAAAACTAAAGAATTACTGCTAGGTCTACACATAACCTCTATAGAACCCCATTTCAGGTCATCCCATTCCCCCTCTGTTAAGCTTGAAACTAAATATTCTGTTCTGCATCTCTCGTAATCTAAATGTGAATAAGGTAATAAAACATATGGTGTCACACAATTATATGAAGATACAGGGGCCCCAGGGGGGCCCCCTGATCCTACTATACCACCACCACCACCCATCATGGGGGGGGAGGGGGCCCCGGGGGCCCCCCCCAAAGAGGAAACTCCACCGCCGCCGCCTAATGCAGAAACACCAGAACCTGATATTCCTCCTACAATACCTCCAGTACCCATCACACCACCAGTATAAATATTACCACCATAACCACCTCCTGACGAGCCTGGTGGGGGGGGTTGCTGCGGTGGTGTTGTTGATGGGGGCCCTCCCCATACACCTGATGCTGCGTGTGCATAGAGTAATGTTTTATTATATTCGGAATTTATTGGTGATAATATTATATTTAATTCAATTAATATAGAATATATAAAAATAAAACGAAAAAACCAAAAAGAATATAATCGAGCCCAACCCCGTTTCAGAGCCATCTTGTTGAATATCTGAATATCCTGCGTCTCGCTTTCTGCTTTCTCTCCCTTTTTGTACTTTTTTGTTTGCGGTAAATATATTAATAAATGAAATAATAACAAAATAATAAAAGAGAAAAACAACAGAAGAATGATCGCTCCTTCGATCGAACCACCCACGCCGCTGCAATGGCGACGAGAACGAGAGAAGAGGGTATTGTAATTTAGGGTTTAGGGTTTAAGGATTAGGGTTTAGGGTTTAGGGTTTACGTCTTCCTCTTCACATTCAAAAAATAACACAAAAATACAAACAATACACAGAAAGCAACCCACTGCTGCAGCAACAGAAGCTACAGGAGGCCCCGTGGGAGCCGCTTCCAGCTCCCTCCCCTCGCAAACCCTAAACCCTAAACCCTAAACCCTAAACCCTAGATCTTAAACACTAAACCCTCATTTGTTCATGGCTTAATAACTCAACTTTTCTTGCATAAAATACAGCTAACAACGAGCTTCCTCCACACATTCGCTTTCCGTTCCTCTCTACCGCCGCCTAGCGACCGCCGCCTCTGTTTCTTGAACTCTAAACCCTAAACCCTAAACCCTAAACCCTTCATACTGAAAAGCATAGCATCATATGTACGCACACTTCACTATAACTCTTATAAGGTCTGCTAAATATTATTTTCTTGTTTCTCCTATAAGCACCAGCATTCAATAAAACCCCTGCCGTGCATACGATCGTAGCTGATGCCCCCCATGCAAGCGGAGGTGCCTGTACACCCCAACCACTTGTTTCTGCTTGAACTAAGACTGTAGAAAATGCTTAAACTCTTGTGTGACCCTCAGCAGCCAGCCCGCATGCACCTAAAAGTACTACCGGTAGCCTTCATCGCCCCACCACAGTAAGAAGCACACACCCTCGTATACAAGCTCTCCCAGCGGGGGTTCTCTGTGCTGAGAGAAGTGCTTTTGCTGCGCTTGCTGCTGCTGCAACTCGTGTTGTTTCTGGTGTTTCGCCTGGTCCTCCTGCTGTATCTTTTGCTGCTGCGTCTCTTGCTGCAATGCTTCTTGCTGCTGAGCCGCTTGCTACTGCATCACAGCTTCGTGCTCTGTATACTGAGACAGTACAAGTAACAGCCAGCGAAAGCATTCACTATCTTTTCGAGCCGTCGGCGTGTTGAGAGATCATTGGGGGGATCATCGATGCCCCGTCGCATCGATTCCCCCCATATACACCTCAACAGAGTGCTTTCTGTATGCTGCTTTCTCTCCCTTCTCTGTCTTCTACAATATTCTTTGGTTTATATCTTGGTGAATTGAACAGCATGAAACTTCTATAGCAGAGTAACCCCACTTATATCCTAATTGAGCTTGCATTTTATTATCGATTCCCCTGTGGTCTCTGTCGTTGCCAAAGAGAAGTCGCAGTGGATACACCAATCAGTAAACCGGTAAGTTGCGGTGTATAGTTTCAGTGTAAAACAACAAACAAACCCAATTCTATGCAAGTATCAGGGGAAAATATTTCAACTCGTGGCCGTTGGGTTTAGGGTTCAGGGTTCAGGGTTTAGGGTTTAGGGTTTAGGGTTCAGCTAATCAGCATACATAAGCAGAGATCTAATATGTGGCAGACTTGTATGGATGAATAGAAACGCATCGCCTGGGGCCTCGTGCGTTTCCTTTTTTTGTGTCTGTTTCCCTGGCTAAGCTGCACAATTGCTTGCTCATCTAACAGCCTGTCTCACCTTATCTCCCATCAACTGTGAATTACGTTCCCCTGCTTACTGCAGAAGACGGTACATGCATTGCTTGCTGCTTCCCCTCAGCTTTCAGCACGGGGGCTTCGCAGGCTGCCGTCTCTGTTCTTTCTTCCTTCTCGTCCTCTTCTGAGAGAAGCTGAGATTCACAACTCTAAGATTATAGGTTCTATCTGTTGGTCATCTCCACAGTGTTCGTCTTTTTTTCTGAGTTAGAGCGGTGGAAAAACTGCCGGCATTTCAACATTTCAGTGTTCAAGTATTTCTTCATCTCGGCGAAATTCACGATTTCACGATTTATGATTTAATTTCTTCTCCGTGGCTGAACCACCTATGTTTTGCATCAGTTCAGGGAACAGCCGTGCAATATGCAATTACAAAAGGTACAGAAGGTCCTACCCATACATATATATATATATATATATATATATATATATATATATATATATATATATATATATATATATATATATATATATACGGTGTATTGAGAAGGAGAAACTACACCTTCAGAGTGAGAGGAAACCTCTCCAATGCAGCGCATCGCGACGCCCGAGATGTTTGCGCCGTGGTAAAGGCAGAAGCATTATTCATTAATTTTCGTCTAAAAGCACATTCAGCAAAATATGAGGCAGAAACTGCATTCGTTCAGCCACAGAAAAACGAGCCCGTCAGCCGCTGCTCGCCTCCTCTCTGATCACTGTTCAAGACGGTAAGCAGTTGAATTCTCTACGAAAACTTTTGCGGGAAAAGAAGAAGAAAGTCGTCTTCATGTTTTTCATAGAGTGCCTTCACGATCGATCAACGATAAACAAATACCCACCCAGGTCCTCAGCTGGACTGTGGCGTTCGCTGCTCGTGGCTCCCTCACTTAACCGTGTGGCGCTACCAAGTGTACGGATTGTTCTCTATCTTAGCATAATATTATAAAGAGCTGCTAGAGAGAGTCAAAAGCTTAGAGGTAGGAGGCCCCCAAGAGCCGCTGGCAATCGCTCAAGCCCCCAGGGCTCCTGGGTACACCAGCACAAATAGCTGGGGATGCCCTTCATGAGTTTCCGCATACTTTGCTGCAGCTATTGCTGCAAGAAAACCCCG